TGCTGCCATCTTCCCCCACTCTCTTCTTTTTAATTCTTTGAGGAAACTCCATACTGTTTTCCATAGTAGTTGGCACCAATTTACACATCCATCAACAATGTATGAGGGTTCATTTCTTTTTCTCCACATCCTTACCAACTCTTGTTATTTCTTGTCTTTTTGATTTCAGCCATCCTAACAGGTGTAAGATGGTAGCTAATTGTGGTTTTAATTTACATTTTCTTGATTATGAGACCTATTAGCCATCTGTATATCTTATTTGGAAAAATGTCTTTTCAGGTCCTCTGCCCATTTTTTAATCAGATTGTTTTTTGTATAGAGTTGTACAAGTTCTTTATATTTTGAATATTAACCCCTTATTCAGTATATTATTTGCAAATACCTTCTCCCATTCAGTAGGTTGCCTTTTTGTTTTGTTGATGGTTTCCTTTGCTGTGCAAAAGCTTTTTATTTTAATGTAGTCCCAGTAATTTATTTTTGTTTCCCTTGACTTAGGAGACATATCTTAAAAAATGTTGCTATGGATAATGTCAGAGAAATTACTGCCTGTGTTCTCTTCTAGGATTTTTATGGATTCAGATCTCAAATTTAGCTCTTTAATCCATTTTTTAATTTTTGTGTATGGTGTTAAAGGTTCTCCAGTTTCATTCTTTTGCATATAGCTGTCCAGTTTTCCCAGCACCATTTGTTGAAAAGATTTGTCTTTCCCCCACTATATATGCTAACCTTCTTTGTCATAGATTAATTGACCATATAAGTGTAGGTTTATTTCTTGCCTATGTATTCTGTTCCATTGATATATGTGTCTGTTTTTATGCCAATACCATACTCTCTTGATTGCTGTGGTGTCATAGCAATCTGGACTATGTGAAATGGTGATATGTCCATCCGAATTTGTCTTTCTCAAGGTTGCTTTGTCTATTTGGGGTCTTTTGTGATTCCATAAAATTTTAGAATTATTTGTTCCAGTTCCGTGAAAAATGTTGTTTGTATTTTGATAGCAATTGCATTACATCTGTAGATTGCTCTGGGTAGTATGAGCATTTTAACAGTATTTGTTCTTCTAGTCTGTGAACATAGAATCCTTTCCATTTGTTTATGTCATCTTGAATTTATTTCATCAGTGTTTTCAGAGTGCAGGTTTTGCCTGTTTGGTTAACTTTATTCCTAGGAACTTTATTCTTTTTGATATAATTATAAATGGGATTGTTTTCTTAATTTTTCTTTCTGCTGTTTTATTAGTATGTAGAAATGCTACTGACTTTTGGGTATAAATTTTTTTGTACTGCAGCTTTATTGGATTCACTTATTTCTGGTAGTTTTTTGGCTTCTTTAGGATTTTCTATGTATATAGTATCATGTCATCTGCAGATATTTCAACTTCTTTACCAGTATAAATACATCTTGGGTTTCTGATTTTTTGAAAAATGTAAATTAAGCTGCTATAATCTTTGGTGTACAGATGTTTGCCTGGACACAAGTGTAAATATGTAGAAGTATGACTGCTAGATCATATACTAAGTGTGTGTTTAACTCTATACAAAACAACCAAACCTTTTCATGATGGTTGTGCTGTTTTACATTTCCATTAGCAGTATGAAATTTTATTGTTTTCTTTTCCTGGATCTTGTTTCCAACCAGCATACTCTTTTTCAGTAGAATTCCTGGAACTTTATAACTCCAGATTTCTTTCCTTATATTCAGTAATTGCCCCTCCCTTTTTTTTCTCCTCTTCAAAATCCTCAACATTCCAAAAGTTTACAGAAACCTTTCATCATGTCATTGACCTGTAGCAATGCCCAAAAGATTATTAAGGTTATTTTCCTGGTATTTGCTTTGGATAGAAGAGTAAGTATGAGAAGACATGAGACAGGGTATAAAGAAACAAAGCAAACTGTGAAATAAAGTAAAGTAAAGACAAGTAAACAAAGACAACTTGGTATCTTGGTTGAAAAAGATAGGGAGAACTAATGAAGATATCCATGGCTAGTACCTAGGAAGCATATGTAAGAGGCAAGGCAATTGGAGAAGTATGATCACTTTTCATTTTAATCCTAGACTTACCATGGATGTACTTTTGTTTCCATTTGTAAGGAGGTGTTGGGAAAGCTACAAAACAGTAGTTTCCAGGCATATACACCTAGGATTAAAAGAGTTTTACTACAAAGAAATAGCACAAGAGTATTTGGGAGTGCTAGAAGTGTTGTATATCATTGCTTTCGTGGTGGGTACATGATTTGAGTCATTATAGATCTTTGTTCTCCTGTTTTGCACTTAAGTTGTCTTTTTAAACAATTTTTAAATGTTTATTTATATTTGAAAGAGAGAGAGAGAGCGGGGGAGGGGCAGAGAGAGAGGGAGACACAGAATCCAAAACATGCTGCAGGTTCTGAGCCTGATGCAGGGCTCGAACTCCCAACAGCGAGATCATGATCTAAGCCAAAGTCAGACCCAGCCGACTGAGCCACCCAGATACCCCTCACTTAAGTTGTCTTGTACCCTCATTAACCTAGTTACTTTTTATTGAGTGCTAGATATTGTAAAGAAAAATTATGAAAGTAAATTGAACCCTTGGGTGAATCTTCACTAAAGGTTTTGGTTTGCTTTGTGGCTAACAATCTTGAATTACTTTAGTTTAGATTTCTTGGTTGAGTGGCTCAGGCTTCAAACCCTACCCAGACTGGTATATTGTTTTTCCCTTCTTACTCATTTTTGTAGCCCTCAGGGTTCCCAGCCCTAAGTATAACTTTATAGCGGGCCCTGTTCTCCACTTACTGCCCAAGCCTTATGAAATGCTCCAAAACACTGCATAGTTTCTCCACATCTCAGTTGTCTTTTCCTGAACTGTAGGACCTTTGTAAGTGGAAAAACGGCTTGAAATGATAAGCTTATTTCTGTGAATTTGTATGTTTTTCAACTTTTAGCCCACCAACTCTTTATTCCAATTGCAATTCTCCAATGTCTTCAGCCAGGTGCTTGTAATATTTTGTGTAATTGTTCTCATCAGAATGGTTGGTTTAAATTACCTAGTCTTCTGTTAGCAGAAATGGATATGTAAGCTTTATGAACTGGCGTTCAAATTGAAATCTGAAGGATGAGAAAAAGTTAGTATCTCATGCAGAGTGGTCCACAGATGTCCAACAGGCTCTGTTAGTTGTAAGTTGAAATTGGCTCTGTAGTTTTTCCAGAGCTAAAAGTAATTAGTATGTTTGGCAAACATACTAATCAGCAAAGCCAAGAAGGCTCATGGAGAAATCATAGATAAATTGGGACCAGACATGGAGTGCTTGTTAATGTCATGAGAAGCATATTGGGTTTTATTCATTGTTTAATTTAGAAGGTGTTTAAAACTTTTAGGCAGAGATAACAAATCATGATCTGACTCAGAGTCAGATTTTAGAAAGTATTAAAGCTAAAGCTTTCCATGCTTATTTTTTGATGCACTATATTTGGTTTTAGTTAGTCTGGTGCAGTATCGAAGCATCTTTAATTTTACCAAGGTACCCAGGTGATTTTGATCCCCACCAGTTTGAGAACCACTAGCTTAAAAAAGTTTTCTCTTCCCTTACTTTCTCAGTAGACTTTCATTATTCTTTGATCTCCAGTGGGTTGTTTTTTTTTTACACATTGGTATATAAGATCATTCTACACTAACAGAAACTGTAGGCAGCAACATATTACTGCAGCATGAAATCAGTTTAGTACGTTTTGACTGTGTGTGAGTGCGTATGTGTGTGACTGTGTATGTGTGACAAAGAAGAGACTAGGATAGCATAGAAAAAATAAAAGTGTAAATTCAGTTTAATGAAATTATATATGTCCGATTATGTTGTGAAATGTAAGTAGATGTTACTATAAGTTAAATAATATTTGAAAAACATTGATGTAGGCCAGTTATTTCTTTTTTTTTTTAATGTTTTATTTATTTCTAGGAGAGAGGGATAGACAGCATGAGCAGGGGAGGGTCAGAGAGAGAGGGAGTCACAGACTGAAACAGGCTCCAGGCTTGAGCTGGCAGTCAGCACAGAGCCCGACACGGGGCTCGAACCCACGAACCACGAGATCATGACCTAAGCGAAAGTCGGACACTTAACCGACTAAGCCACCCAGGCGCCCCAGGCCAGTTATTTCTTATGGGTATTGGTTCCCTATACTAAATCTTCCTCAGCTTACAGCTCCTGTCCCAATAAACTCATTGCAAGTTAAAAATTTCGTAAGTTTAAAATGCATATAATGTACTTACCAAACATCATAGCTTAGTCAGTTCTATCTTAAACATGCTCATAACACTTAATGGTAGTCTACAGTTCAGCAAAATTATCTAACATAAAGCCTATTTTATAATAAAGTGTCAAATACCTTGTGTAATTTGTTGAGTTCTGAAACCAAAAAAACAGGATGGTTGTATGGGTACAGAATGGTTTCAACTATATCAGTTGTTTACCCTCATAATCATGTGACTGACTGGGAACTGTAGCTTGCTGCTGCTGCCCAGGATCATGGGAGTACTATACTTCTTGTATATTGCTATCCCAAGAAATTATTAAAATTCAAAATTTGAAGTACAATTTCTACTGAATGTATATTGCTTTTGTACTATGATAAAATAAAAAAAATTTTAAGTGGAATGAATCATCATTATTTGGTTCTCATCTGTATATATTTTCATATATAATCTTTTCTACTATTTAAGCTCCCCTTCTGAAGTGACATCAGAAATTGTTGATGTTCTCTTATCTTTCAGACTTGCCTTCAAGGAGTGCAAATAAGGACTTATCTCCAAAAAAGAACACTTATGAAACAGAATTATCCCAATGGGAAATGAATGCCAGGTTTGAAAACTGTGATCTTGAGAAGTCCAATTCCAGAGATTATTTGGAAGTCAGAGGCACATTGGAAAAGCAACAAGAAAATCAGGAGGAATATTTCAGGCAAGGGATGATCATATATGAAAAAATGTCCATTTTCAATCAGCATAATTACTTATCTCAGTATCCTAGGTGTCATTCTACTGAGAAACCCTATAAATGTAAGGAATGTGGAAAGGCCTTTAGACGAGCTTCACACCTAACTCAACATCATAGTATTCATACTGGTGAAAAACCCTATGAATGTAAGCAATGTGGGAAGGCCTTTAGTCGTGATTCACAGCTTATTCTTCATCAGAGACTTCATACTGGTGAGAAACCCTATGCATGCAAGGAATGTGGGAAGGCCTTTACTCAGAGCTCACAACTTATTTTACATCATAGAATTCATACTGGTGAAAAACCATATAAATGTGAAGAATGTGGGAAAGCCTTCATCCGTAGCTCACAACTCACCCGACATCAAAAAGTCCATACTGGTGAGAAGCCTTATGAATGTAAAGAATGTGGGAAGGCCTTTACTCAGAACTCACAACTTACTCTACACCAGAGGCTTCATACTGGTGAGAAACTTTATGAATGTAAAGAATGTAGAAAGGTCTTTACTCAGCTCTCACAACTTATTCTTCATAAGAGAATTCACACTGGTGAAAAACCCTACGAATGTAAGGAATGTGGGAAAGCTTTCATTTGTGGCTCACAGCTTTCTCAACATCAGAAAATTCATAATGGGGAAAAGCCATATGAATGTAAGGAATGTGGAAAGGCCTTTATTCGTGGCTCATTACTTATGCAACATCAGAGAATTCATACTGGTGAAAAACCCTATAAATGTGAAGAATGTGGGAAAGCCTTTATCCGTGGCTCACAACTTACTCAGCACCAGAGAATTCATACCAATGAGAAGCCCTATGAATGTAAGGAATGTGGAAAGACCTTTAGTCATGGCTCACAACTTACTCAGCATCAGAGAATTCATACTGGTGAGAAACCCTATCAGTGTAAGGAATGTGGAAAGGCTTTTAATCGTGGCTCACTCCTTACTCGACAACAGAGGATTCATACTGGTGAAAAACCCTATGAATGTAAAGAGTGTGGAAAGACTTTTAGTCGTGGCTCAGAACTTACACAACATGAGAGGATTCATACTGGTGAGAAACCATATGAATGTAAGGAGTGTGGGAAGTCTTTTATTCGTGGCTCACAACTTACTCAACATCAGAGAATTCATACTGGTGAGAAACCATATGAATGTAAAGAATGTAGAATGGCCTTCACTCAGAGTTCGCATCTTTCCCAACATCAGAGACTTCATACTGGTGAGAAACCTTATGTATGTAATGAATGTGGGAAGGCCTTTGCCCGTGGTTTACTTCTTATACAGCATCAGAGAATTCATACAGGTGAGAAACCATATCAGTGTAAGGAATGTGGGAAGGCCTTTATTCGTGGTTCACAACTTACTCAACATCAGCGAATTCACACTGGAGAAAAGCCCTATGAATGCAAGGAATGTGGGAAGGCCTTTAGTCATGGCTCTCAACTTACTCTACATCAGAGAATTCACACTGGTGAGAAGCCCTATGAATGCAAAGAATGCAGAAAAGCATTTACTCAGAGCTCACATCTTTCTCGACATCAGAGAATTCATACCGGTGAGAAACCATATCAATGTAAGGAATGTGGGAAGGCCTTTACTCGTGGTTCACAACTAACTCAGCATCAGAGAATTCATATCAGTGAGAAAACTTTTGAATATAAGGAATGTGGGATAGACTTTAGTCATAGCTCACAAGTTTATATATGAATTATCTGGTTCTTTGTGATTAAAATAGAGAGCCTTCTCTGGTCATTAATCCATTGTCATCAAAGAATTCCTAAAATCTGAATAAGGGAGCATATTTGCCTCATAAAGTTCAGTATCAGTGAATTCTAATGGTAGAAAGATACTGTTAATGGAATCTATGTAGAAAAATCTATCATTACTGGAAACCTATTAAACTTAAGCAAATTATAATAGGGTTCAGTTAATATACTAAAATATAGGAAGGCCATTAGCTGTAGAATATGACTTTTTCAGCATTATCTTGACTCTACCACCTACTTTTCTTTGTGATATTTATCATAATTAACCTCTACTTTTGTTTAATCATTTGTAAGATAAGCCTAGAAATAATACCTTCCTTGTAAGATTCTTGGATGTATTATGTGAGACATTTCATGTAAAGCTCTTAGAGCAGTGCCTTGAACATATCATATCACAAGTATTAGCTATCATTATTACTAGTATGATTTTAGAGAATTTGCATGAGAAGAGGACAATAGGATTATAATGAATATTGAGAAATCTTTCATTAACCCTTAACCTTGACTGTTTGGGGAGTACAGTATGCTATAATGAATATCAGAAAGCTTTCACTTACTTCTCATGCCATATGCTGGAAGAGGAAATTAATACTGTTAAAAATATCTTGTAGATTTAATCAGTAGATTGTTGAAGAGGAGTAAGGTGAATTGTAACAAAGTCCAAAAACTCATATTTTCTATAATTTTTTGACCACAATTTAAGAATATTATTTGGAAATGAAAAAAGTGGACAGCCAAAATAAACTTATTTACTACTATGAAATTTCTAAAACTTGAATGTACAGCTTTTGAATTAAACTAAAAGTAAACTGACATTACTATTTTGCGGTGAACATGATGACAGTCTGTCAGAGATTGCTATTTCCCTACCCAATATCCATTTTCCCTTCTTTAGAATTCTTGGCTGAAAAATTATCTTAGCCCCTCTTGCAGGTCAACAAGATGGAAGTGGTATTTGTTTGTACATATAGGACATTTAAGAATACCTTTTATTTTCTCTCTGCATTTCTATTTTCCTGCCTACAATGTGGACGTCTAATTTACATCTCTGATGATTTTATGGGGAATTTGAGAATGGTATCTGGGTACTAAGGATGATAGAGTAGATATACAGAATGAGTCTGTATCTGTACTGATTTTATGGACTAGCTGTACCAACTCTGGTCTGCCTGCCTCCTGTATTTCTTTATACAAAATTAAAATAAACTTACTTGTTCATACTGTTGTCATTCTGTTATTGACACTAAAATGTATAAAGTGTATAAAATTTTGTACCTAGAAGTAGAGTACTATGGGTAAAAGAAATCTCAAGTATGGCATTGACTTGGTGCCATCAGTAATGAGAATCAACCCAGTTCAGGCTGGAAAACTAAATATTTTTGCTTTTATAGTCAGGACATTTGGTCAGACTCCTCCAGTCTGACTTAAAAGGCAGATCTTGGGGCGCCTGGGTGGTTCAGTCGGTTAAGTGTCCGACTTCAGCTCAGGGCATGATCTCACGGTTTGTGGGTTCGAGTCCCGTGTTGGACTCTGTGCTGACAGCTAGCTCAGAGCCTGGAGCTTGCTTTGGATTCTGTGTCTCCCTCTCTCTCTGACACTACCCTGCTCATGCTGTCTCCCTCTCTCTCTCTCAGAAATAAATTTTAAAAAACATTTAAAAATTTTAAAAGGAAGATCTTTTACCAGTTAAGGCTATAATATTAGTAGAAATGGTACAAGTGATTCACGATGTGTATTGGGTGTTCTTTTGATAATGTCCTATGAAAGATACTCAAAGATACTCAATTACTGTAAATTCTTAAATTGCTGTATTCCAGCCACTGTCTTAGGGGTTTGTGATATAGTGATGAGAAATTATAGCCAGAAGAGGTAGGATAATAAAAATTGTAGAATATGTTAGAACATAAGTGTTATGGAAGAAAGGTCAGTCCAAAAGTACTTGAGCAAGATATGAAAGTTTATGAAGTAGACCATGGATAAGGAAAGATGTGAGTCAAGATTTGAAAATGTGAAGGAGTAAGTCAGTGGTTATCTAAGCAGCATTCCAAACAGGAAAAAGCTAGATCAGTGGCCCTACCGTGGGATAATGCTGCTGTACTTGAGTAACATCAAGGAAGCTATTGTTGAGGTCTGTGCAAGGGGGTGATTAATAGAGGAGGTTGGAGAGATAACAGCACCATATCTTGTAACACCTTGTAAATCATTGTGAGAACCTTGTATTTTATTCTGAGGGAAATGGGTAGGAAATTGAGCAGAGGATATTGTCTAACAATAATGTGAGATAAAAACAATAAATGTTAAAATTGTTAAAAACAATAATATCTAAATTGATAAGAGGTTATGGTCTTAATTCAGATGAAAGATGATGGTGGCTCACATCACAGTGGTAACAATGGTAAGAAATGGTTGGACTCGAGATATATGACAAATGTGAGCAAGCAAGTTTTATTTAAGATTTAGATGTCAGGTGAGGGGGGGTGTCTGGAGTGACTTTGATTCAAAAGTTTTGGTCTCAAACAGATGGAAAGATGGTATTCCTATCAGTTGAGATGGGAAAAGCTGCAATTCCATCAGGTTTGTTGGGGAAGGTTAGGAGTTCAATTTTGAATATGTTGAGTTTGAAATGTCTTTTAGACAAAATGATAATATTGATTAGGTACTTGGATGTTTTAGCTTGTGCTGTTCTAGAGATTATATTAATTTGGTACATATTGCCTATACTTACATAAAACCATAAGGCAGGATAATATCATCAAGGACCTGAGTATAGATAAAGGAAAGAAGAACAAGGACTGATCCACAATGCCTTCTAATATTAAGAGTCCACAGATAAAGGGACAGACTAGCAAAGGACGCTAAGAAGGACAGTGAGATGGAAGAAAAACCAAGATAGTGTGGCATTGCAGAAGCTAAATGAAAATCAAAGGAAAGATGATCAGTGGTTGCAGATACCATTAGCAGTTTACCTAATACTAGACTTGAGAATTGCCTATTGAACTTAGCAATATCAGTGTTATTATTGATCTTGAGTAGAGCAGGGGTATTTTTGTTTGTTTTGGATTGGTTGAATTAAAAACCTGTTTACAAAAAATAGAAATTGGAGACCATGAATATAGAGGCAACTGCTTGGAAGTGTTTTGCTGAAAAATGAAACAAAAAATTAATAATTTAATTTAATTTGCTTAATAAATAAATAAAAGGTTAATAATTGGTGTGGCAATAGAAATAGGAGTGTGTTCCAGTCAGAGTGGCTAAAATGAGCAAATCAGAGAACTCTAGATGCTGGCGAGGATGTGGAGAAACGGGCACCCTCCTACACTGTTGGTGGGAATGTAAACTGGTGCAGCCCCTCTGGAAAACAGTGTGGAGGTTCCTCAGGAAACTAACAATAGAACTCCCCTATGACCCAGCAATAGCACTGCTAGGAATTTACCCAAGGGATACAGAAATGCTGAGGCATAGGAGCACATGAACCCCAATGTTCATAGCAGCACTCTCCACAATAGCTAAAACATGGAAAGAGCCTAAGTGTCCATCAACAGATGAATGGATCAAGAAGATGTGGTTTATCTATACCATGGAATACTACATGGCAATGAGAAAGAATGAAATCTGGCCATGTGTAGCAACATGGATGGACCTTGAGGGTGTTATGCTGAGCAAAATAAGTCAGGCAGAGAAGGACAAATATCATATGTTTGCACGTATAGGAGGATTAGGAGGAACTTGACGGAGGACCAAGGGGGAGAAGAAGGGGGGAAATGGTGGGGGAAAGGGAGAGAGGCAAACCATGAGAGACTCTTGAATGCTGACAAAAACTGAGGACTGATGGATGTGGGGGGGAGGGGGGGATGGGCATGGAGGAGGGCACTTTGGGGATGAGCACTGAGTGTTATGTGGAAACTAATTTGACAATAAACTTTGTTAAAAAAAAAAAGCATTCTCAGTAACAAAACAAAAAAAAAGAAATAGGAGTGTGTTTATTTGCAGAATGGGAGAAGTAATACCATTTATGTATGCTCATTGGAATAATTCAGGTGAGGGGAATAGTTGATAACAAGTGAGAATTACTGGAGCAATGACCTTATTTATGTCAGTGAGAGAGGATCTAGATTTAGCAGATGACGGATTCACTTTGGGTAATATCATGCAAAGTTTATTCCTGGCAATAGTACCGCAGAATATGGGCTGCTGGGAAGTAAGTAGATAAGGTGGGGAAAGTTTTGGGAATTGTTCTTCTGATTACTTTTGTGATTCCTTGAGTGGTAAACACGGTCAGCTGAAAATATGAGGGATGAGAAGTTCAGGGTTCAAAAGAAAAAAAGGTAGGAAATAGTCACCAAAGTGAGATATTTAATGTGTTTTATGATTGCCTGCAACATTAAAGGGATAGAAAAGTACAAAAGGGTCAGTAAGCAAAAAGAAATCAGGCTTAAAACTACTCACACAAGATCTTTGACATTGTAAGTAAACAGTAGCAAATACTTGAAAGCCTTTTTGAGTTTTTCAGAGAAATGTACTATTGCTAATGAAACCCAGTCCTAGCTTGCAACAGCCTATGACTCAAATCCCCCAAACAATTCCCAAGCTTTGAAACAAATCCATCAGAAAATGACCCATTTGTGTAATATTTCCAAGGATATATATTTAAAACTGTGTATGTTCATATGCCTATATACATATATAGATCTATGTACATATATATCTATATACACATATCTATATAACTAGAATATAGTTTTCTCTTTTCATTTGCTTTTTAAAAATATTTTTTATATATATTAAGCCAAGGTTTAGAGTGATTCTTATGCAGACTGGAATGATTGCCACTATATGTAAATGAAAAAGTAAGGCAGGTTTTTTGCACTTACATATTTTAGTAATCATTCCAGACTCTATTGCTTCATAACAATCACTCCAAAACTTGGCTTAAGATACAATGATTTATTTAGCTCACACATCTATAAAAATTTGGACAGGGCTTGGCAGCAATAGCTCATCTCTGATATATATAGCCTCAGAAGGGGTGGCTTGAAAGGTAGGGGGTCATTTGATGACTGAAGGCTGGAATCATGTGAAGACTTATAAGCTCAGATGTCTGGAAATTGATTCTATCTGTGTGCTGGACCTTAGGGTGCATAGCCAGAATACCTACAGGTGATATTTCTATGTGGCTGCTTAGCATGGTATCTTGGGTTCCAAGAGTGTGTCCCAAAGAACAAAGGAGAAGTGCATGTAATTTTAATGATCTAGCCTCAGAAATCATATAACCTCACTTGTGTCATATACCATTAGTTGAGGCAGTTACAGCTCTATGAAAGTGTCACATTGTAAGAAGAACTTGTAGGATAGGATATATTGTGGCCATGTTTGGAAAATGCAATATGCCTTAAAATGCTTCCATACCTAGCCTGGGAAGTTACATAATCTTGCTTCTGCCATTCTCTATTTGTTTAGTCAGCTACATCTTGATGGGAGAGTGTCATGTTGTAAGTAGAGCGTATGGGGTAGGATATATTTTGGTGGGAATTGGGGGGAAATATATTCTGTCCCAGAGATCCTCTCCTATATGAAGTTGCTTCATTTTTATGGTGGCATATTATTGTTATAGCTATATATTCTTTTAATGATATGCCATAATTTTGGCAGACTGCCAAAATTTTCATTTTTTTATTGAGTGCTTGGCTACCCTGCTATGTACCAAGTCTCCCATTTTTCTCTTGCCAGTTGTGGCCCTGTGACTAAGTGAAACATCAGAAGTGATAAATAATTTCCCTCTCATTGGCTCAACAATTTCCATAAGCGTATAGAAATAACTCCCAATATACTATTATTTACAGTTAGTATAAGTATTTAATGTGGCTATTAAAGGATATATTTTGCTTCCAGTTCTGGACCAAGATGGAGTACAAAGAAATATGTAGCTATGGTAAAAGAGTGTAAGATGTAAGAGAACTCTGAAGAGTACCCAAAGTCTGGAGAGTATCCAAGGAAGGATAAATTTTGAAAGTGGACCCTATCTCTAAATCTTGGGTACAGATTGTATCACAGAAGGTGTGGTTTCAGTCCCACTGAATGGTGGAGAATTTTGGTGGGTGTGCCAGGGCTAGGGCTAATCTATACTTGTTAAGCAAGCAGGAGGCAAACCTTTGAAACACAATCAACTTGCAACAATAATAGTAGGAGACTTTAATATACCACCTATATCAATGGATAGA